TAGTAGGAGAGCCATTATTAATAATCCTATAGGACACTGACTTTAGGTAAGTCATCACCCAACTAATCCATTTTTCATGAAACCATACTAATGGAGAGTTTTTTCTATAAAAGCCCATTCTAGCCTATCATAGGCCTTTTACATATCAATTATAGATGTCATTATATTAGAACTATCCTAATTTTTGTTCATTGAATGAAACATTTCATGGGCTATGACAATGTTGTCATTAATTTGCCTATTGGGTATGAAAGTACTTTGGAAATGAGAGATGATGTCATCCACGAGGGGTTTCATCCTATTAACTAGAATTTTTACAATAATCTTGTAGGTAATGGTTACTACTTGATAACTATTTGTCTATTTCTTCTAAATCGCATTATGACAATGTCCTGAAAAATGGGTGTTGGATAATTAATGGGAAGTACTTTGTTTTAGCCCCTTGGAAGGAAGGTTTCAACCCCTCAAAGCAGAACTTGAGGTGGCTGACTTATGGGTTAGGCTGTCGGGCCTCCCTCTTGAATTTTGATTGTGGGATGACCTTGAACTTATCCTTAGAGATGTAGGAAAGGTGACCAAGCTAGATGGTGATACCAAAAATATGAGATGCACAAATTTCCCAGGGATACGTGTTTGGATTAGCCTTGCAAGACCTTTTGTTTTAACAATCCCTCTCACTTCCGGTGGGGTTGAATAGCCCATAAGGGTCTTTTATAAGAACATCATTGTTAGTAAAAAAAGGAACCTAGATCTGAAATTCCAAAATGATGGAAATAGGTTGCACATTGAAAAGGGAAAAGGTAAGTTGGGATCGAATAAGAAAACAAATTGGCTTAATGCTAGAGGCCAAAGGTTTGTTCGTTCCAGAAATCTTGCAAAAACAAGTTTTCTTAATGCTGGCCATACAACTATTGTTCCAAATGCACACAATAAGACTCAACAAAAGTGGTAAAGAAAAAAAAATCCAATGTGAGTAAAATGGGTGGTTCAACAAACATGATTTGTGACCTAACAAGGCTTAAGAATACAATCAAAGAATAATTTTCAAGTGACCATGATGCTGAAATGGAAGGGATGGAAGGGATGGAAGAGGATGGAGACAGCCTAGAGGGTGAAGACTATGAAGACGACAATCTCCTAGATGAGGAGTGGGAAGAACACAAAGGTAATGAAGGCCTTGAAAATGTAAGATTGATGTTATAATGGCAAATGAAAGATTAGTGCATACTCTGATCCATGATGTTTCAAATGATAAGACTCGGTTTTGTACTTTTATGTACGCCCCTCCCAATAAGTCTAACCAAAATGTTGTATGAGAATGGATAAAAAATATAGCAGATAATACTAATGGCCCTTGGTGCATTATGGGTGGTTTTAATAATTTCAAATCCAATGAAAATAAAAGAGGGGGAAGGTGTGTGCTCCCTAGTCAAACTAGGAATTTTAATGAAATGATTGACTATTGTAACCTTATTGAACTAAACATGATGTATCCTATCTTATGGATGGTATGAATTAGCCTCCCATGAGATCCATAGAAATAGGTAGGAAGTTCCCTAATTGACCACCTAGCAAGTGAACCTGAAATCAGATTCGGTGCTCACAAAATTGTGCTAATATCTCTTTTCAGACATGCATTGGAAACATCTTCTCATGAATAAAAGGATATAAGTATGGATATATTCTCAATGCATGACTGAAAAGGGCTATGAGAACGGTGTAACCACAATTTTGTGAGGACTGAATCTGCTCTTAGTGAACCTTTGTCCATTCTCCACCTTGATCTTCAAAAATCAAAACTAATACTAATTGTTTAATCTGATTATATGATCACTCTGGATCTGCTACCCGTAATCTGTTCCCACAGCCTTGTTCACATAACACCATCGCTGTGTATTAGGAACATCTCTCCATGAATGATAAGGGAGATATTCCCAATATGCTACTGTAAGGGATGTGGGAACAGCTAGTGGGAAGCAGATCCAAGCCCCAATGATATTGGAAAGGCAAGGCATGGCATCTAGGAAACTTATAAATAGGGCTATTAATGGACCAGATATTGGTCCAATCTGGCGTGGTCCAGTACGAGTCCATTACAGATGGATCAAGTCCAATCCAACCCAATGAATACTTTGGACCATTTTCGACTGGTCCAAATTCCAATTCAATGTTTGGACCATCCAAACTGTTTGAATTGGTTTTAATTTAGATTGGATCCAATCCAAATCTGGTCCATTGACACCCATACTCTTATCTTATGTCAATGAACCTAATATTGATTCAATCCGACCCAATCCAATATAAATCCATTATAAGTGGACCAGCTCCAATCCAATTAAAAAAAAAAAAAAAAAAAACTTTGGGCCATCAAGTCTGGATTGGTCAAATTCAATATGTCTAATTGGTCCATCCAATCCATTTAACCACCCAACCCAAACCTGGTCCATTGACACCCCCTACTTATATCCAATCAATCGGTATCATGAATGAAAGTGGTAACCAATAATCACTTTATCTATACTAGATTATAAAAGTGTGGATGTAGTGTGAAACCCTTTTTTTGGACTAAAATKACCCATATTTCTTTGTTTGAGAAAGGGTATAAAAGTCATTTTATTATAAYTTTAATGGCTATTAAAATGCCCATATTTATGTATTTAGTCCATTAAGGGTTGAAAATGTAACTTCAATTATTACTTTTTGATGGAGGGTGATTTGGCCCGACCTCGTAGCACGGGTACATGTGGGTGTGACCTTGCTCAAGCGATGACTCAGCGTGAAAGCATAGCAGGTACAGCCGCAACTCCGTGGGAAAGTCCCACCGAGTTCAGTTGGACAACTTGGCGGGATAGACTACTCGCCGGGAGCTGCCTAGCCCGCACCTCCTCCCCGAGACTAAGGCACCCCGAGCTGCCTCCGAGCTCGGGACCCCCTGACCTCTCCTAATATCCGAGCCCCTCCCAGTGGATCTCAGGCCACTCTTAGACAAAAACACACCGACCCGCTTCAAGATGCCCCGAGGTGAGGACACCTTGGGCCAAACAGCTCGACATAGCTTGCCACACGCGGCTCGCCGCTTATGGGATAGCCCGGCATAGGGTAACTCGTGAAAGAGTAGTTCGACATATCGTAGGAAAATCTCCTACCCGACCACCGTACTATTATGGACACACCGCCTGGTAGCGCACTGCGGCGCAGTCATAGGCAGCAGCACGCACCACGGGCCGCCCAGCAACACACACTGCCCAGCAGGCGCCGCACAGCAGCCTGGCAGCGTGCACAGCAGCACGCACCGCCCGGCAATGCACAGTACGCACTGCCTGGCAGCACGCAACATGCACCGCCCGACAGCGCGCAGCACGCACCGCCTGACAGCAGTAATAGGGCGGGGTCCACTCGACAGCTCATCAGGGTGGGTCCACACTTATCTTACCACATCAGCTCCGCTCGCCAACTCACCGCCAGCTTATAGGCCTTYTGGAAGCGTTCCTCTCCAACAAAGAAAGAAGCTTTGAGGGAACCGCCACCACCAACAACCGCCGTCCAGACGGGGTGGAGACGTCCAGCGAACAGCAGACCGCTGCCCCAACAGCCGTTGTTATTCCCAAGTATAGCCAAAGCATATAGGCCTTCCAATAATACTTGAAACTTCACAATTCAATCCTATTATCACATATTTGGATGAGGTGTTTATATAATCAAATTTGGATTTTGCAATCTGTATCCTATTAATAATAAAAAAATAAAAACAAAAAATAAAAAATACATAAATTTTATAGAAAATTTTGGATATATTATTATTATTATGATGATGATGATGATGATGATGATGATGATTATTATTATCTAGAATTGCCACGTGCAAAGCACATGCACACTTACTAGTGTTTATAAAAAATCACAATGAAAGAAGGGTTCTGATTGGTTTTGGGTTGGGCTAACCCCAAATTATAGGTATTATTATTATTGTTGTTGTTGTTGTTGTTGTTGTTATTATTATTATCATTATCTAGAATTGCCATGTGCAAAGCACATGCACACTTACTAGTGTTCATAAAAAATCATGGTGGAAGAGGGGTTCTGATTGGTTTTGGGTTGGGCCAACCCCAAATTATTGGGTTTAGACATCAACTCGGAATTTTTTTGGTAATCACCTCAACCAGTTGTAACTTGTAACCCTACAAGCCAGGAAACCTGTCTTACCAACCTGATTTTCTAGTCCCCATAGACCATAGCCARTCCAGTCTGTAATCCCATAAACCAAGCCCAAACCAGTACCAATACACAGGGTGACTAGGGTTAGGTTTGACCGGTTCGTATTGTGCCTGACGTAACCTGATCCAAGTTGTTGCTACTTGCTAATTTCTATTAGGGGTGTCCACGGTTCGGTTAACCGAACTATGACACTTTTTTGTAAACCAAACCGGTGGTACYGGTTTTTCTAATTCTCCAAACCGAAATTGAACCGATGCCACCRGTTAATCGGTCTGCTGGTTTTGGTTTTTGACCAGTTTGGTTCTTCAGTTTTTCAATTTTTTATATTTATAATATATATTATACAAATATATGTATAATATTATATAATAAATAATAAATGATATATAATATATTATAAATATTTAAAAAATATAATATATATAATATATTTATAAATAGATCATTATAAATATAATATAAGTATATATTTATATATATAATGAATATATATTTATATATAATACATACAAAATGTGATATATATTAAAAATATATATAAAATATACATAAAAATATATATACYGGTCGGTTAAGTTAATCATCGGTTTTTTTTAGATTAATAACCAAAAACCGAATCGGTCCTTCGATTTTTCAAAAATCCCGAACCGAAATATATACCCCCAGGTCCCAGCGGTCCACCCCGCCCTCCTGCTTCTAATTTATTTTTTTTYCRCAATTTTTTTTTGTTTATTGGATTTTTCCCATCTTCTTCTTCTTCTTCGTAACACAAGAAAGAAAACCAGAAAAGGAACGGGCAGAGGGAAAATATAACAATAATTTGAGAAAATCAAACAAAGTAGAGCGGAGAAAAAGGAAATGTCTTATCTGCTCCTTCATCAACTATATCCGCACCAGCCACTGCCCCCTTCCTCAACGTCGTCCATGGCCCATCTCCATCTAGGTACAGCCCTCTTCGGAAACTTCTGCAATTCATGTTCAGTTGCCCGCAGAGGATCTCAACCACCGAATTTCATCAACATCCTGCGCTCCTCTCCACYGAATTCTTCAACTATAAGGTGCATGGCAAACCCTCGACGGGTGAAAATGGTTGCCAAACAAATAAGGCGCGAACTCTCTGACATGCTCCTCACCGACAAGGTCCTTCAGTACGCTGTTCTCCCGGAAGCCGCACTCGGCGCCGACCGTTACTTGTCTTCCCTCACCACCATCTCCGACGTCGAGGTCTCTGCTGACTTGCAGGTAACCTTCGATGGATATCACCAGCTAATTAGTGAGCAGACAACACAAAACCCCAGATTGTGATAGTTGATTCAATTCAATGTGCAATGAACGGAATCCAATATCAAGTGGCAATCTGGAGAGAGATTATGATACTGATAATCCAGATGTCATTTAGTTGTGACATCAGGAGGCTTCTGTTTTTTGAGTTTTAATTTTATTGAAAAAAAGCATACTTCCAAGTTCTAATGATTCTCGCTTTGAATTCCGTGGTTTTATTGCTTATGTACACATTTTTTTTTTTTATCAGCAACCACAAAGAATAGATTTATTAAATTAAAGGAGGAAGATACAACAAGGAGTTGTGAACCATAAGCATGCCCAATACAACATTAGTGCCCAATACTAGCCACTAATGTTGGCTCCCTCATCCCCGATTACCACTCCAATACTTAGGGACCCAGGTTACCCATACTACTACCATCAAAGTTCAGATTCTTCCAACCAACCATTGCTGGAGATCAGACCTTAGGGGTTTTTGTTTCCTAGAAGAAGAGCTTGCAACTGCCCCCCAATTCCGGAAAATTTCCTCCACTCCAAAGTCTGAAAGATGTTTCAAGGTTCTTATGCAATGAGAAACTTCAAGAATAATACAATCAATTAGCACCTCCAAGCTTCTCTCCTTGAAGATTCTTGCGTTTCTCTTTTCCCACACTGTCCAACAAACTACTTCCCTTGTACATCTCCATAAAATCCTACTCTTTTTTCGTGCTACTCAAAATAGAGGGGATAAATACTTAATTAGTCCGTCCAAACTGGCAGGAGTGTTCCTCCTACAACCAAAAAGAGAAAAAAAGAACATTGCCAAATACAACAAACAAAGGGACAGGAGTTAAGAGGTGGAAAGCGGTTTAACCACTTAATTTACACAAAAAGCACCAGTTAGGGGATAAGGCCCAATTTGGTCTTTTCATTTGCAACAAGTCACAAGTTTTATGCATCAATGGAACACTTCCCAGCAAAATGCACTGACCTTTGGAGGAATAGGAACACACCAGGTTTCTTTCACAGGGAAAGTGGGTGGAGAGGAAGTAGAAATGGGGGAGCTGAATAGAGATTTACAAGAAAATTTCCCAACGGGGGAAGGGGACCACCACCGAGCATCCTTCACATCATTGACAAGGGTCACTAACTCTAGAACATTCAACAAATTAGACACCAAGTGGGATTTTTGACTCTCTTAGATTTCTGGTAAGCCCCAAATTTCCAATTCAACCCAAAAGAGGAAGGGCAAGGGTTCAAAAAAGTTATCCACAGGTTTACCTTTGAAACTGGGAAGAACAAAGAGGGAGGGAAAGACATCTTTCAAAGGGGAATCACCCACCCACACATCTTATTTTACTACTAGAAATCATTGAAATTGAATCATTTTGGGGATGGGGTTGGGCCATACCACCCACACATCTTCATATTCAATGGAGTGTGTAATACTAATATGAAGTTATAATTCGGGCTAGATATTATTATATTTTTATTGCTTTCACTTCCCTAACCCCATCCCCATAAAAAATAGAAGGGAAGGCTTTAACTTGCTTTGATTAGAGTACTTTCAATCATGTAGTATCCATGCTTATATGCTTAGTTTTTTATAGGCCACTACATTATGTATATCATTGTTTCCCAATAGGATTTGTTAATCATTGTCCCTTATGATTTCTGTTTTAAGTTTGGAGATTCCCTTCCAAAAGAAAAAGAAAAAAGAAGCTAAAGTGACCAATGACAATGTATGAAAGGAAAATGTGAGCAACATAAATAGAAATTTTCATAAAAAAAGAACGCCAAGGGGTGTCGTTGCTTTGTCCATGATTTGTCCCCTACTCGTGGTAAGTTTGATCCTCGTGCCATTCTCTATGTTTTTCTTGGTTATCCTTTATATCAAAAGGGTTACCATTGCTATGATCATGCCTCATGCAAGTACTATGTCTCCATGGATGTATCATTCTTTGAAAGTCAACATTTTTTCTTGGTTTCTCCTCAGGGAGAGATAGGGTTGAGGAGGAGAAACACACTCAGGCTCAAACTCAATTACCTCTTCTTCCTGATCCTCTCCCATTTCGTGTCTTTATTCGCCACCATAAGAGCCAGCAGAATTCAAGAGCCATGGAACTTGAAACTATGCAACCATCATCATCAGACTCTCCAGAGGCAGATCTTCCTCATCAGTCAGATACACTTGTTCCCATTGATATGTCTGAACCTCTTGATATTGATTCCCCTATTATTAATGATCTTAATGTACCTATTGTTAAGAGAAAGGGTGTTAGGTCTTGTACTACTAATCATCCTATCTCTCACTTTGTGTCCTATGGTCATATTTCACCTTCATATCGTGTGTTCTTTTCCTCCGTTGATAGTGTTTCTGTTCCTAAGAATGTGATAGAAGCTTTATCCAAACATGAATGAATAGGTACAATGAAGCAAGAAATTAATGCCTTATACAAAAATGGCATCTGAGAGTTGGTGGATATTCCTGAAAGAAAGGAACCAGTGGGTATTCACAGTGAAGCATAGGGCTGATGGTACGGTAGAAAGGTACAAAGCCAGATTGGTGGCCAAAGGATTTACACAAGTATATGGAGTAGACTATGTAGAGACCTTTGCTCCAGTAGCCAAGATGAATTCTATCAGAATCATCCTTTCACTAGCAGCTAATCTTGATTGGGAATTTCACTAGTTGGATATTAAAAATGCATTCTTGAATGGTGACCTAGAGGAGGAGGTTTACATGACTCAACCTCTAGGTTTCTGTGCCAAAGGTAGTGAGAAAAAGGTGTGTAGGTTAAAAAAATCATTATATGGGTTGAAACAATCACCTTGGGCCTGGTTTAGTAAGTTTCATTTAGCTGTACAACAGATGGGGTTCAAACAATGCTAGTCAGATCATACTTTGTTTGTGAAGAAAAGTAAAGGGAAAATTGCAGCTTTAATTGTGTATGTTGATGACATAGTGGTCACAGGAGACTGGAAGACTGAAATATAGAAGCTGAAGAAATTCCTAGCCACTCAATTCGAGGTGAAAGATCTAGGCCCCTTACGTTATTTCCTTGGGATTGAAGTCGCCTGTTATCAAAAGGGTACATTTATTTCCTAAAGGAAATATGTACTAGATCTATTAGAGGATGCAGGCAAGTTAGGGATGAAGCCAATTGATTCACCAAATGAACCCAACCATCAGCTAGGAGACAGTCAGGGGGAGTTTTTGAAAGATGTGAAGAAGTTCTAGAGACTTGCATGGAGACTTCTATATTTGTCTATGACCAGACCTGATATTGCCTATGTAGTGGGTGTCCTTAGTCAGTTCATGCATAACCCTAAGACAACTCACTTTGAAGTTACAGAAAAGATCCTTAAATACCTTAAAAAGTTCCAGGAGCTGGTTTACTATTTCAAAAACATAGATATTTGAAAGTTGAGGTGTATAGAGATGCTGATGGTTGTCTTAGTTTATTTGAAGGTCACAGGAGACTGGAAGACTGAAATATAGAAGCTGAAGAAATTCCTAGCCATTCAATTCGAGGTGAAAGATCTAGGCCCCTTACATTATTTCCTTGGGATTGAAGTTGCTTGTTGTCAAAAGGGTATCTTTATTTCCTAAAGGAAATATGTACTAGATCTATTAGAGGATGCATGCAAGTTAGGGGTGAAGCCAATTGATTCACCCAATGAACCCAACCATCAGCTGGGAGACAGTCAGGGGGAGTTTTTGAAAGATGTGAAGAAGTTCTAGAGACTTGCATGGAAACTCTTATATTTGTCTATGACCAGACTTGATATTGCCTATGCAATGGGTGTCCTTAGTTAGTTCATGCATAACCCTAAGACAATTCACTTTGAAGCTGCAGAAAGGATTCTTAAATACCTTAAAAAGTTTCCAAGAGCTGGTTTACTATTTTAGAAACATGGACATTTGAAGGTTGAGGTGTATAGAGATGCTGGTGGTTGTCTTAGGTTATTTGAAGGTCACAGGAGATTGGAAGACTGAAATATGGAAGCTGAAGAAATTCCTAGCCACTCAATTCGAGGTGAAAGATTTAGGCCCCTTACGTTATTTCCTTTGAATTGAAGTTGCCTACTGTCAAAAGGGTATCTTTATTTTCTAAAGGAAATATGTACTAGACCTATTAGAGGATGCAGGCAAGTTAGGGGTGAAGCCAATTGATTCACCCAATGAACCTAACCATCAGCTGGGAGACAGTCAATGGGAGTTTTTGAAAGATGTGAAGAAGTTCTAGAGACTTGCATGGAGACTCTTATATTTGTCTATGACCAGACTTGATATTTCCTATGCAATGGGTGTCCGTAGTCAGTTCATGCATAATCCTAAGACAACTCACTTTGAAGCTGCAGAAAGGATCCTTAGATACCTCAAAAAGTTTCCAGGAGCTGGTTTACTATTTCAGAAACATGGACATTTGAAGGTTGAGGTGTATACAGATGCTGATTGAGCAGGGGTAGTCGATGACAGAAAGACTACATCTACCATTAGGTATTGTACCTTTGTGGGAGGAAACTTAGTCACCTAGAGAAGTAAGAAGCAAAGTGTGGTGGTTAGATCCAGTGCTGAAGCGGAACTGGGTTTTGTAGTTAACAAACCTATGTCACTCTATTGTGACAATAAAGTTGCTATCAATATTGCTGCTAACCCAGTCCTCCATGATAGAACATAACATATTGAAGTGGATAAGCATTTTATTAGAGAAAAACTTGTGAGTGGAGAAGTGTGATATGCCAGTTCAAAAGAACAACTTGCAGACATCTTCACCAAGGGCCTTCATCATGTGTGGCATAATAATTTGTGTGACAAGTTGGGCATGATTCACATCTATGTCCCAACTTGAGGGGGAGTGCTGGAATGTTTATTTTACTTTTTTATGTTTGTATTCTGCTGAGTTAGGGTCTGTTTGGTCTAACTAAAGTAGTGTTTTTATCATTGTTTATGTACTCTAATTGCAGCAGGGGCAAAAGGGTTTTTTCCCTTTTAATTATGGTTGCCCTATATATGATAATGTAAGCTGGCACTGCCAGCCAGATATGAAGACTCCAAATCCTTTCTCTTCTCTTCTCCCTTCTCTCCTCTCTCTCCCTTCTCTTCTTCTTACTTATTTTTCCGCTTCTCTTCTGCTAATACAAGAAAAAGGTGATAAGAAATCACCCAGAAGGAGGAGCAACCGCAGCAAAAACAAAACCAAGCACCTCTTATTTGGAAACATCTAAAACAATCACCCTTGTTACCAACACTTAAGTCTCAAACAGGACTTGGTATGCTGTTTTTACAAGTCATTCTGTACATGCCATTTTCTTGGTTAATTGCTCATTTTAATTTTCTTTCCATTTATGGTTAAGGACATTCATCCATGCCATTTTTTTAACTCAGAAACCTCCTAGGTGAATCCAATAAGTGGTGGTTCTGACTCCTTGAGCATGTGTCATGCATATGACATGAGCAGAGATTATTTTTTGGTTGCCATCCTTAACTGAGTATTGAACTCATTCTCTGTTTCTGTTTTAGGTTACTACGAGAAAGCTATTTCATTGTGAGTATGATTTTTGCCTTGATGAACAAATCATGTTTTTCAGAGTACTGAGGCAATGCCTGTTCTCCTGTTTAGGTGGTTAAAGTTTATGTATCTGTATTTGGTGATGAAAGAGGTAGAGAGGTTGCTATTGCTGGGCTGAAATCAAAGGCCAAGTATGTTCGCAGTGAGTTGGGCAGGCGTATGAAATTGCGGTTGACTCCTGAGATACGTTTTATTGAAGATGAGTCTCTAGAGAGAGGAAGCAGGGTAAACTTTCATTTTTTTTTTGTTTTTCATTCAGTTAAATACCTGCTATTTAAGAGCACTTTGAATAAGATCTGTTTAATCACTTTCTATGCCCAATAAGATCTCCCTATTACTTTCTATTACAACTTGTGATGTCTCCTAACTCCCAAGAAAGAAAGACTGACACAATTATCATGTCATCATGTTCTTTTCCCCTATCATCCATGAACTGATCTGACATTTAGGTATTATCAAGGATCAAATCAATCAGATTAACTGTTTAGGATGTCCTATGAAAGACCCATCACCAGTAGGTCTGCACACAAGTCCCATGCACAGCAAGTACTTCATGAATGATAATTATGGTCCATAAGGTGGAGTGTAATTTTTATCAACTGTATGTCTACTTCAGGAGGCAGTGGCCATTGTGTGGTACAATGGTAAAATGCCACACAATAGGTTAGATGCTGTGAATGACCATTTCATTCTAGAAAATTCTGAAGGTTAGGTTTGCACGTGGTCCATCCCTCCCAAAACTCTAGATAGTTAGGACCAACGTTGGCAATGGCCCTTAGTCCACTTCAGGAGTCATGTAAGCTATGACTTCAGAGGTGGTCAGATGGTGTACCTGTTTTCTATTTGTTTGGTTCCGGATACATGCTTTGATAAATGATTCCTGTATGTGTAGCTTTAGTGCTTGAACTGGATTATTCATCTGGTTTCAGTGCACTGCTTCTATGGTTGACCTGACTCCCATACTATGGTCTCTCCCAGTTGAATCCAGGGGACATGGCTTACTTTGGATCATCATACATTCAATCATGGAATTCCTTTGTTCTTTGATTATCCTGGCAGATGAATTATGCATATGGAAGCTGCATATTCTCTTTTTGTGAAGCTGATAAACTGATATAATATGATTTTCATGACAATGAAATCATTTATGTGATGTCTGCTTCTATATGGTTAATAGTGGCTGTGTTTGTTTCCAATTTGAAAGGGGAAGAAAACATTTGGCCATAGAAAAGGCAGAAACACAATTGGAATTTTATAGATTGAAAACATATCCTAAAGTCATAATTCAATAATTTTGGTTAATCACTTTTCCTTATATTCTATGTGGCATTTTGTAGCATTAAGAGATTAAGTTACAAAATCATCATGGACCGGTTCACATTCATATATTAAGCTAGGGTGATTTACTTCCTGGTGGAGTACTGACTGATTGTTTTATTCCATGGCAGGTGATTGCAATACTGGATAGGCTAAAGAATGAGAAAAAGAATGCAGAAAGTCACGATGAAGGGAAATCTCAATCATCTGATCTGTCTGAAGATGATAGAGATTGGGATGTTGATGACCCTGATGATGGCATTATTTATATAAAGTAGCTGCTCATGGTTAGTTGAAGTATGCTTGGATTTTGGACTCAGACATAGTTTTACAGCTTCACAGGTTAGTCTAATTTAAAGGAAAAATTACAGATATAGATATTGAAATTTCAATACCAACCGAGTATAGCATGTCAAAATGTCAACATGATTTCCTTGTTCTAGAATATCTTACAACTGGTAGTGGAAGGTCAAAATGTCAACATGATTTTTCCATTAAATTATGACAGGCTGGTAGTGGAAGGTGACTCTAAACTGGTAATAGGTTGGTTGAAGGAACCTGAAATGGTAATTTGGAAATATAAAGAGTATATAAAGGATTTAAGTGGCTGGTCAGAGATATGATAATCTCAGTCCAATGGGAAAGGTGTTCAGCTAATGGGATGGCTGATTTTTTTGCAAAATGTAGGGTGCATAGATCTGATTTATTTTGGGCTCAGTTGTAATCTTGTTTCCAGCTGGGGCTGCATCTCGCGCTTCTCCTGGATGTACTCTGTAACCTTGTGATATTTCTTCTAGTTTAATAAATTTTCTATCATCAAAAGAAAAAAAAAATCTTACAACTAGGTCCTATTTTAAATCCTACAGCTACCACTTTTATAAAAATTTCATTCTTAGACCATTTACCCAATTGAAAAAAAATCTGAACCTTTCCTCTTCCCAACTAAATGCTCCTGATTCGTTTTTTTCTTCGTAAATATGCTTTCAGGAACAACTTATTTTCTCTGTTTCACCATTCAAAATCAAGAAATTGTAATGATGAGAATGTCAAATCTCCCTTCTGTTGACAAAACTTTGCAAGGCTATAACTCACAAAATGATATTATCCTCAGGTGATAGCATCAGCAACCTGATGAAGAATTCAATACCATTAGAAGCCATAGGTAGAAAATTATGGAACTCAGCAAATGAATGTGTAGCAGAGAAGAGGAAAGAGTTTGGTGTGCAAATTGGATTTAGAGAAGGCCTTTGATTTTGTGCATTGGTCTTTTCTCTAAAGATAATGGAGAAAATTGGCTTGGGGGAGCAATGGAGGATGTGGATGAAGGGGACCCTCTATCTCCTTAGTTCAGTATTCAATTTTAATTAATGGTGTGGCCAGAGATTATTTCCCAGCAAAACGAGGTATGGGACAAGGGTACCCTCTATCCCCTTTCCTTTTCACCCTAATTGCTGATGTTTTCATTAGGATGATCTTGAAGGTTGATCAGAATAATCTGGTTAGAGGATGGAGGGTAGGAAGACATGAGGTGGAAGTCACACATTTGCAATTTGTAGATGACAACATTTTATTTTGCGAGGGAGGCAATCAAGAGAATATAAGAAACTTGCGAGATCTCATTAGTTCTTTTGAATCTGTCTCCAATTTGAAGAATGGGGGAAAGAGTTGTATAGCAGGGATAAATTTGGATGGAGGAAGTATGAGAGAGCTAGCTGAGATTTGGGGTGTGAGGTTAAACAATGGCCATTGGAGCATTTAGGGCTTCCGTTGGGAGGGACCCAAGATCCAATGCCTTTTGGAAGCCAATAGTAGAAAGATTCACAAAGAATTTGTTACTATAGAAGAGGAACTACTTATCCCTAGGTGGGAGAATAACTTTGATTAGAGCAAACTTAGCTAACCTACTAGTCTACTTCCTTAAACCTTTAGAATTCCAGCTAGGATAGCAAGACAACTAGAGAAATTTACGAGGGATTTTCTTTGGGAGTCGAGGGATATAAAAAGGGACCATCTAGTAAAGTGAGAACAAGTTAGCTAAACAAAGGAGAAGGTAGGTCTAGGGTTGGGGAACTTAATGCACAAAAACACTTTTCTGCTAGGCAAGTGGCTTTGGAAATTTCCTTTGGAAGAGGATAGGCTGTGGACCTTGTGGTATAAGGTTATAGAAAGCATTCATAGGCTGATCATTGATGAACAATGGCTGGTATGCAAAGGTAACTTCTTCCTCAAACTCGAGCTCTCCTTGGGAAGCAATTCATGAGGTATATCCAACCTTTATTAATTTCATCAGGTTTGATGTGGGATTAGGGTCTAGGGTACTCTTTTGGGAAGACCTTTGGTAGAATGAAACTCCTTTTTGTTCTCTCTTCCCTGATCTGTACTTAGTGGCTGATTATAAGTCAAAACCTATCTCAAACTTTCTCACCTTTTCTCATTCTGGTTTGAGCTGGGACTTTGGTTTTAGGAGGGGGTTGAGGGATAATGAGTGTGAGACACTTGTGTGTTTGCTGGGCAAACTTAAGCTAGCCTTCTTGGTTCAAGCAATGGAGGACACTAGAGTTTGGTCTGCTGCCTGTATCTTTACATGTGCTTCTTTTTTTAAAACCCTTGTGCAACCTCCTGGGGGGGGGAGAATTTCCCGATGAAAGAGATATGGAGTAAACTGTTAAGGGCCTGCGAATAGGATCTCGTCACAGGTCGGTTAACGGGGAAAACTTCCTGTTTTCCCTTGTTTCTCCCTTTTCTCGAGGAACCTATCTTTAGTGCCTTAATGGTGATTTGTTAAAGAGATCACCAACTCTCCTTTGCTCTTTCTTGATTGAAAATATCGATAATTTTATTGAATATCATCTGCTCCTTTAAATAGGAAATTACAAGAAGATAAGAGTCCTTCTTTAGGAACACTTCCTAACAACATTTATCTTTAAATAATAATAATGCT